GTGTAGTGGTCAATAAAAATCTATGTAAATAGTAAAAGAGCTTAGAGGGATTAAACCATAGTAACTACCTACCTAAAATTTAATATCTCACGAGTTACCTTGGCAACTAAATGTAGGTTATCCGGTGAGAATAATTGAAGTATGCGCAAGCTGGTACAAACACACACGTCCCTAGAAAGGACCAAAAAATCCATCTTTCCTAAATCCCTATGGAGCCATTGGTCGATTGATGCCTCGTAAGCTCCCTTGTAATGCTTGTGTTTTTTTTTCTCTTTAAAAAATTTGATTATAATTTTGTGGGGCTCCTATTATGGCAGGCTCCTTTCTTTTGCCATTTTGCAGGTGGTTTGGATTGAAAGGAAAATAACAATTTTTAGGGGAGTTGCGAGGTCTTGGGGTAGGTTGAGAGCCGATTAGATTTAATACCTCTCTTTGAGTTTCCATGTCTATTGGCTTTTTGTAATTACAAGAGTTTCCATGTCTATTGGCTTTTTGTAATTACAAGTTAGGTGTCATTCTTTTGGATTGAGGTTTGTTCTTATAGAAAGATCCCCTTTCGTGGGCCTTTTTTTATGCCTTTTGTATATTCTTTCATTTACTCTCAATGAAAGCTTGGTTTCTCATTGAAGATAATAATAAATTATACACCTGCCAGCCAAGTTAGCATGGGAGATATTTACAAGAAAACTTTTCATGACAACTAAGTGACTCCCTAAGTGAAGGCTCCACTAAAGTTTCGGCAAGAAGCTAATCAGCTAACAGCTTATTCAACCAGGTTCACTAATGCACTACAAGAGGGTTCATTTTGTTTTTATTGACACTTAAAAGGCAATATTTTCATAGAAATCACTACTATCTCCAAGAGTATCATTAACTAGAAAAGTATAAAAGGGTGAAGGTTGCTGGAAACACTTCTTTTGGTAGTATTCATTCCATGTTTATATAATTCCAAGTTGTTTTGTGAACCTAATTGCCATTTTTAGTGATATGAATTCTGGTTCACGATTTATATGATCAAACCTAAAAAAACAACGAAACTTAAAATCCTCACCACTTCTGGCCATGTCAAAACATTCTCTCCTGATATTGTCTCAATGGATGGCTCTTCAAAAGCGCACTGTTTTGCTAATGGCAACATTGCTGACACTGCATATACACCCTCCCCCCAGCACCAGAGAGAGAAAGTGAGAGAGTTTAATTTATATATTATGAGCAACTAGAATGATAGTTATCGATAAGAACACAATGGGAAGCAACAAATGAACAGGAACAACTTCCTCCATTAGTATAAACTATATGCCAAAGAAAAATGTATAATTTATAAATTTACAAGATCTGTAAGGATTATTATTTAAATAATAATAGATAAGCACAAGAAGCTAGAGGGGAAAAACAATACAGAAGAAAAGTGAAACTTAAGAAAAGGATACAATTATACTCAAAGGATCTATCATCTATATATGTTTCTTCCTCTACCATGGATCTAGACTTTTTAAAACTACAAGACCTATCCTTTTCTGCTTAAAAAAGCAACAAAAACTCTGGGGACTACTTCGTTAAGCTTGCATCTAAAGTGGAAATCTGTATGATTTGAAAATGCATATATCACATCATAGAAAAAAATGGCGATGTACTGCTCACTACTGGTGTATGGAGAAAACGGGATCTCCTCATGCTTAACAGATCCGACTCTATGATACATATTGCTTACTATAGTCAAGGATATCTGACATAATAATTCCAATAGTAAGTGAAGTATGTTATACTTTTTCCATGTTATAATGTTCTTATTTCGTGCTGTGCTAGAAGCAGACCAGTTCTTACTACTGGAACATGCCATGGAACCAAGTTTATATATGTCCATCAAGTCAGACTTATGTGGCAAAAGCCTAATTGTCGCAATCAGCGTTAATGCCCGTGCAAGTCAATTGAAATTTGCTGTAGGGAATAATATATATTTATATTTATAAGGAGGAAGGGGATAACTTTTCATAAGATTAGATAGTGTATGGCACAAGATCTAATTATTTTACCATTACCATGAAGCTGTAGGTTTAGAGAAGAAAGTCTTCTCACTAATTTAACAGATCCAATTACAGTACCTAAATATTCAACCAAGTATAAATAACTCTAGATAAACAAGTCATCTATATAAAAAAAAAAATAATAATAATAATAACCTCTAGATAAACATCTGAGACAACAGAAAACAAAACCTATGTCGTAACTTATAACTAAATACAAGAGTTCAAAACGAACACATTTAAATAACAAGAGGATATGAAACTTGTAGCTTCAACATGTACTTACTATCAATTCCATATACACTGCGCCAGAAATCAATGCTCGCACTGTATCTATCGGTGTGAGTGACAGGTGCCATGTACAACTGTGGGCAAGACAGATAAAATCAGCACCATAAAGGTAGGGAAGTTAAAAATCTTTGATGTACTCGAGTTTAAAAAACAAAACAAAACAAAACACAAGCACATGCACAGGCAGAAGCACAGACGTGCACACAGAGTACAAAACAAGCTTTGATTCCAAGTATCCAACTACTCGAGGTTTTAGCACTATCCTTTTCTTTTTTTTGTCTTATTTATTTCTTAGGATGTGGAGGTTATACATGCAAGGAGAAATCTTTCCGTAAATCTTTTCATTTTGTACAGGGTATGCTGATCATTTCAAGTTTTTTCCAACTTTGATAGTTCTTGCTGTTCTTTTCACTGCTTGTATCTTTCTTGATGAAAGTTCCATTTCACATTAAAAATATACCTGAACCACTCAGAGATTCTACAGAAAAATAGGTAATATATATGCTGATAGAGAGTTGACACATCTCATCGTCCAAGTCGATGAAAGTAACAAGCATAAAGGGACAAAAATTTGCCACCAGTATTACACAGTTACACAGATCAAAAGTGAAGATAATATAAGAAAGGCAAGATACTGTTGCATTTGATGGTAGTATAAGGCCTCCAGGTTTCAACCACCGATCTCTGGCATAAATTATACTTCCAAGCATGCTCTGCAATAGCCAGTCACCCCACTACTCAATAAAGAGTATAAAGTAAAAATATATCTTTTGTAAAAAGCATTAAGGTAAGGTAATTATAACAGGTTCAAGCTTTACAAGTTGATGGACATAATCACCTCATATAAAAGCATATATCCCATCCACTCAGAAATTATAACATCCACACCCTCATCAATTTGAACATCCTGCATGGTTTTAGGAGGAAAAAGTTAAGAATGTAATTGTCAGATCTGGTAAGAAATATCACTCTCGTATCATGATGGGGAAGAAGGGGAAGAAAAGAAAGAATGAAAGATAAATAGCTAGGAGGGGAAAAGGAGATATTCAATAATCCAGTAAACTTGACGAGTAACTTTTCCATTATCATTTATTAATAGTAGTATCATAACCATCAATCATTTCAAAAAATTAAATCATTTCAATTTTCATTCATCAAACGAAATATACAACAGGAAAAACCTCTAGAAAGTCAACGAAATTACAAATTAATTTTTTTTTCAGAATTTCAATCCCATGTCCGTTCCCCATGATAATAACCTGATACTAACACAACAGAAGAAGTAGAAAATAAGTGAACCGAGTAAATTTTTTAAAAAATTAGTAACCAAATACAAGTAATTGTACTTCTTTATCATTCAATCTAAATCTCTAATTATAAATTTAATGAGAGATTATTTTCACCATTTAATTTTTTGAAACACAAACAGAGAGATTATTTTCACCATTAGTCGAAGATTGCCCTCCTGATATTCCCACATTTTCAAAAAATATTAAAATAGAAACCTTTTCTTAACCAATTTAAAAAATAAAAGTGCAAAACAATGGCCTGAAGCAAGAAGTCAATCATTACAAGACAGGACTCCAATCATTATTTTCTTTTTCAAATAATAGAACATTTTAAACAGGTCAATTTTAGATTAGTGAAGACTCAAAGCAACCTAATAGGAGCAAAGAGACATTTGCAACTTAAAGAGCTCACCTCAACTCTACTATGCAATACAACGATTGTATCCGACAGATTATTAGCCTTAACAACATCTGAGGCCTGTAAAGAAAACAAAATCAACTCAGACGTAATATCAAATTCTGCTTCTGGCATGATTCATAGATGTCTAACTAGGATCTTCAATAAAATTACATACTATAAAAAAAAAAATAATATGACAATTAAACATGGATCAGATACTGAAATATGCATCGTAAGAATGAAACTGTGTTTTACATGCAAAAGGATTCTCATTTATAATAGATCAAAAGAAGAATTTGTAAGAACAAAGTAGATAGGCCACGAAATCTATGTGGAGAGTTAAAACAAAAAGAAATGCATGTAACACGGAAAAGGTTAAAGAATATGCAAAAGCAACATCAAACATGATGGTATGTACTGCTCAATAGGGTTCAGTTCTTCATGACATACTCAAAATAACAAGACTCTGAAACGGATGGTTAACTCATATTCCACTCATTTATACCAAAAACCTCCTACCTTGTATAGTTAACATCAAAACGCACGCACACAAAAAGGATAAAGAAAAGTTGACACAAAAAAGTTTTGAAACATTGATCAAATGATAACGGTCGTTCTTAGGCAACCAGAGTGGGGAGACCCATGCAAAATTAAAAGTCTTAACAGATATATTTTCTTTATACAATTTTATTACAAGAAACACAAACTTTTCAGTAATATATGAAAAGTCACAAGCTACATCTTTCTAAACATGACAGAAGAAAAAAGCCCCCAGAAGTGGAAAATAATTTTCTTTATACAATTGAAACAAAAAAGATCATTGATAAAAATGAAATTTACATAAACCTGAAAGGAGATTACAAAAAGACACCCCAACAGAAGGAAACCTCTGTTGAGGAGTAATTGTTGAATTTTTTCAATTCATTTCATCCATTACTTATAAAAACAAATATGTATAAGTTTCTCATACCAACTCCTTAAAATTATCTATTCTTTCAAAACTTCGATTAAAAATTAAATCTTATGCACAGTAGCCATCCTATTCCATTAAAAAAAGTTACAAGAGAAGGCTACTCTTTGGATGAACATCAACGGTCTTATATTTGGATCATATCGAAAGAAAGGAACTCCAGAATTTTCAAGGATACTGAACATTAGTTCCAACGATTGATAGACTATTATTTTTTTGGCTTTATCTTGGTGCAAAAATGTAAATCCTTTCAATAGTTACAATTTGAATTCTCTCATATCCAATTGGAGAAGTTTTTTGTAATTTTTTTTTTATATTCGTAAGTGTCAGGGCCAGCTTACGAGCACCTTGACTAATCTCACAAGGCAACCACCTCACCCTACTATATTTGGTTGCCTAGGTAACTTGTAGGATATTAAATCCTAGGTAAGTGGCCACCATCGTTTGAACTCATTCCCTCTAAACTCTTTGCTATTTACATTAGCCCTTAATCTTATTGACCACTAGGCCACGCCATAATGGAGAAGTTTTTGTAACTTCATTGGATAGGGTTTTTTTTGTATATTTCATGATATCAATGAAATTTGTTTCCTATCCCCCAAAAAAAAAATTACAAGAAACAAAATATTGATAGTCCACACCATCAACTATTTCATTTATAAGCAGTGGAGGGTTCCAATATTCCAGTCACTGAATTATCAATTACGACTTCTCAAGATCAAAAAATCATAGCATAAACCCTATCGTTCTATTATCCCCAAAGAACTTCCAATGCTACAACACTTCTGTAACTCTGTTGTTTCCTTTGGATAATATCTACTAGTAGAAATGGAAAATATAATATATATACATGTAATAAGGGATAATTGTGAATAAAATTAACTTAGGTGAGGGATATTACAAAAAGACTTTTCAGGAAGCAAAAATGAAGACAGTGGTAGCTGGAAACTCTTTGGTGTTAGAGCCCAAACAGAAGCATACTATTTACAACCATAATAATAATTGAAATATTAATATCATACTAGAATAGTACCTGCACTGCTATGTCACTTGCATCAACTGCATAAACCTGAAAACAAAGAGAGATACAATAAGCATTAAAGACTGTTGTGAAATAATAGTTGTTACACCAGATCCAATTAACAAATCAAGATTTTTTTTTTAAACGAGAAACCTAGCTTTAATTAAGAATAAACGAAAGACTATATGTGGGACATGCAAAAAAACAAGCCCAACAAAAGCAGATCCATCTATAAGAACAGACATCAATCCAAAAGAATGACACCTAACTAGTAACTACAAAAAGCCTTAGAAACCAAAATCCAAAAAGAGGTATTAAATCTAACCAACTCCCAAATTTTCCCTCAAGACCTCCTCAACTCCCCTAAAAATTATGTTATTCCTCTCAATACACATAATCCACAAAATGGCAAAAAAACAAGTCCGTCATAACAGGATCCCTATGTCCCAAAAAGGAGGGAACAACATCATATGACCCAAAAAGGAGGGAACAACATCACCTCCAACATCGCCTTGCAATCCCTATTACCAGCCCAAGAAACCCCAAAAACCTCCAGGAACCAATTCCAAATATGTTGGGCAAACTGACAACTCCACAGTATATGATTAATGTCCTTAGAAACATTTTTGTAGAGGACACACCAGTGAGGGCGGCCTAACAACAAAGAAGAATATCTCTGAATACGTCATGGTATTAACTTTTCTCTGCTAAACCTACCAAGTGAAGAACTTTATCTTCTTCAGAATTTTTCCTTGCAGAAGGAGAGCAATGAGGTGTTAAGGGAGAGCTACGGAACATTTCGAATTTCAAAGATAAAAGAGGAACTACAGGTGAAACTCAAAAAGGGGTTCGAGGCCCAAGAATGAAGGTCTTTCCTCCCCTGCATGAAACAGACATCCCCTAGCAAAAAATTAACCAGCAACCTCCCTCACCTACCTCTCAAAGACCAACAGAGACCCACAGAAATAGAAGGGGAATTCCCCCAAGACTCCAACACTAAGGCTGCTAAATGAAGTTCCAACATATGCAGCTAAAATGGAAAAAAAAGAAATGTGATCTTGACTTCCCTCTAACTTTTCATTGTAAAATAAAATTCCAAACTATGCTGCTAATAAAGTTCTTCTTTGTTCTCCGTTGTAGAAAATAGAAAATTTATATCAACTATGCAAACTTTCAACCATATCATACACATTACCCATACACATTACCAACCAAAAGTAATTACAATAGCCCATCATCTTTCCCTCTTCTCTCTATACTTTCTACCTACTGAATTGGGAGAAAATTGAGTTATTTGGGCCCAGGAGGATTGACAGGGCGAACTGCCAGTTTTCGGATACGAGATCCAATTAATACCAGGTCCAATATTTGTCTTCCTTTAAGAAAAGTATGTTGACATTTAGAACTTGCAGAAAGAAGTACCACTGTTAGACGTTTTTGTGAGATTCGTTGTAATTAGTATGTAGATGCATACATGTTACTAGGAATATAGCCAAAAGTCTTTCACCTTCACCATTTAAGCTTTCTCCTCTTTCATCAAACATATAAAATGCTTTTTCAAACTCGATATCAATTGACCAATCTTAAATAAATCTTGAAAAAGTTTAACAAAGTCTAGTTTCAAAAAATTTCAATAGAAGAGAGCTCTTGGCTGTAAATACCTTTTAGGGGAAAGGAGATATAAAAGCTGAAGAAGAATCGATGGATGGATCAAATATAGCTTAGTCACATGTGAAACCCATATTTCTTCTTTTTTAACCAAAAAAAAAAAAAACCTTATTTCTTCTTTAAGCACCATTCTTGAAATTCCTACTTAATCTTCACTTTCTTCTCCCTTTCACAAGCTAGTAAAGATCTTTCTTCCTCTGCTTGATCACAATCAATTCTACTCCTTTTATAAATTTTGCCTTACTTTTAAAAGCGCATTCCTTCTTTTTAGTACTCAAATATTTTATAAACACCTTTAAACCTTTTAGTTTCTGCATTAGCCTAAATCCTACCTAACACAACCACTAACCGCCAAACACTGATCTTGCCCACCAGCCTTCAACCAACTTTACAAACTTTGATTCTTGCATCCAACCATTCACAAGCCAAAAAGGAGGATGGCCCCATAAAAAATTACTAAATTCTGACAAAAAGGAAGATGATCTAACACCATTTGCACCTTTTTTATACTTTTGGTTCTTTATACTTCTCTGCCCAAAGTTCAGAAACTAAAAACATAACAAGCTTTGACAGGAACGGGAACTCCCTCATATTCCACGTAAACTTTTCATTTTCTAATAACTAAGTAGTCTTTAATGGAAAAGAAACAATGAAGTGGACTGTTGGTAACTGAATTTGAGGGAATTAGAGTTAAAAGAGAGATGTCTAGAACTCTAGAGAGAGATATCTAGATAAATTCAACCAATATTAAAAAATGCAACTACCTCAGGTCCACCATTAGGAAAGGTAGTCCAGGTATTACTTTAAATTATATTCCATTAAAATATTTGAAAAAAAAATACACATTTAGACACAGCATAGCTCACCCGCCTTGCACCAGCTTGAGCACAAAATATGGAGAGAATTCCAGTGCCACAGCCAACATCCATTACAACCTGTATTCAATTTAGTAAACATCCATTACGTGGCAAGTGTTGGAATATATTTTCAGAGTTTTTGGTGTTTCTTGGGCATCAGAGATAAGAGGTCAATCAGCTACTTCGTGGAATGAAATCTAGAAGTAAAGCGAAGATATTGTGGATAAATGCCATAAAACATATTATTTGAAATTTCTAGTGGATTGTGTCTTCTCTAAAGAAAGATGTCTTTTCTTTATCCACATGTAACCTTTCAATTATGGATGAAAATTTCTAATTCTTTTATTAGGGAAAGAAACAGAAAACTATGATAAGAAACTATTTCATTAAATGTGTGACAAAGAAACAGATTTTATAACCAGAAAAGAAATATTACTTTGCCAGCAATAGAACTCTGATGCTGCATGATTGCTGCCCTATAAGTTTCAGTCCGTACGCTATCCTGAAAAAGAGATTTCATAATATCTATCAATATAAAGGAAGTAATGGCCATAAAATTTCTAAATCTACACACTTGGATGTTTAACTTGATGTAATTCTTTCTTTTTTTTTTATAAATATTAATATATATTCATGATTCATAAAACAACTCAAACATTTAAACAAAATTACTCTTAAATACAGTCAAAAGACTAATGTAGATAGGGTAAGGATTTTTCTGGGCACTTCAGAGTGTTGAGCCATATTCTACTATGAAAATCCCGTGAACTCCAACTTGAATTCTTTAACCTGTTTATTAACGAAACCGTTTAGGACAGAGAAATAGAGCAGTGGCCCTCCCTTTTAGCATAACTTGATAACACTGTTCTTTCTCTAAACCAAAACACTAGGCTTTGGAAGCTTATTCAACCCAGTTCCTTCACCATCAGCTCCTTAGTTGGTGCTCTTACTCTAAGGAGAATACCAAGTCTCAAGATCTTTGTGTGCATATATGAAAGAGATCACCAAAAACTGTTAGGTCTTACATTAGTCCGTCTTTCTTCAAGGTACTAAAACCAATGACGTTGTCTCGAAAAGATATTCTACATGCTGCCCGAGTTCCATTTGGTATTCCTTTACAAGACAAATGAGGAAAATTCCAAGCATATATAAGAGTCAAATTGGAAAATGGGCCAAATAGTCCAGGGCAAAATTAAAGGGATTTTGAGATTATTGGTTCAAACTCATGATAGCCACCTGCCTGAAACCAAATATGGTGAGATGCGTTGGGGTGGGCATGAGTTAGCCTGAACACTAACATATATAAAAACAGTCTATAAACAGCCTAAAGTCTTTAATTGCGATGATAGACTCGTGATACTTCTTAGGGAGAAGGAATGTACAGGATCCATTCCTATTTTCACTAATAACATCATTCCAAAAAAGGCCTCGAAACAACTCATACATAACACCCTCTCTGCTAATGTTCATGCTCAAACTTCTTTCACACGAACTCAGTCGAGAAAACCCGATCATCCCCAAAGTTTCAGCACCCACAATACTGTTTCGATAACGAAATCCAAAAAGTTACAGAACAAATCAATGCAGTAATTTGACATCATCTTGCAAAATGCATCAGTAATTCTCCCAAATAAAACCGAAAACAACCGAAACAGACCTTGATCATTTCTTCATGAATACCAACGTGAGAGTAAGAATGGAAGTAAGCCATGTCAAAGTCGGTACAAGGAAGCCCCTCCACTTGCTTCGGCTGTTTCTCTTCGGAAACCCTCACTCCGCCACCATTCGAGGACCTGCTGCCTCTTCCCCGGCGGGGCCGACCTTTCTGGACGGTTCCCGGCCGCTTATCGGAGGAAGAGCCGCCGGGTTGCTGGTGGTAGCCGTTAACGTGGCCGGAGTTGGAATACATTTTCCGGCTTCTGTCGCTCTCTGTATTGTAGTCTCCAGTCGAAGTTGGGATTACAGTAGAGTAATTCTTGGGTTTCTTTGCACTATAAAAGCGAAACAAGAAAGGGCGGGCGGCTCCAAGAGATTGAAGTATTCTTCTTTCAAACGACATGTCGAATTGGAGCTTAACACTTTTTCTTCTTTTTTTTAATAATTAAATCCAATTTTTCCATTTCTTTCTTTTTATTTATTTCAACCTCAACTTTCATCAATTGGGCTATGTTGACGTTGGCGTGTTTTAAGAAAGGTTACCAGCATCTTATTTTACTAATAAATAGTGTATGAATCGAGTTATTCTAATCTTCATAAAATTGCACGAACTTTTTCTTTGTTCGATAGGTAAGAGTGGCGCAAGGATATTCAACAACAAAATTTTGAACTAGAGTTGTTACGATGATTATGCCTTAATTTCTGTCATTAGATTTTCCAAATTTAGTTAAATGTTACTTTGTTAAACATTATTAGGTTTCCATTTACATCTATTTTATATTTCCTAAAATTTGTAGGGTATTAAAATTAAACCCTATTGTGCTAAAAAAATTAACCATATTGTTTCAAATCGTTAAACTTTATTTGGCAACATTAGTGATAAAATATGCTTACTATTTATCTTGAGATTGAAGGTTCAAATTTTCGTTCCGTAAAAATATGGTAAAGATGACTATTCCCTTCATTGAGATTGGAATGTTTAATATTTCATCTCACATCTATTGAACTAAAAAAAAGTAATTCAATAAGTGTTGTTGTCTAAAAAATCATTCCAATTTCCAAACTCATTACGAGAGCATTGAAGATCTATAAGATTTCAGTCCAATAGGCGCCAACTAAAATAAAGAAGAGTAGAGGAACTCATATTCGTAGAAGATAACATGTCGGAACGACAAGAACGAAGAAAATGATCAAACATTGAAAGTCTTTATGAACTTGTACATGTCCAAATTTGAGCATAATTCAACTAATTAAAACATAAATCATAAATAAATTTAAATATCAAGACCAAAAAAAGGTCAGGGTTATAATAATCCGATTAGTTGGGAAAAAAATTATTAATCCAACACAACCTAATGCAAACGTTAAATTATAGAAAGAAAGAAAAAATGGAGAATTAATTAAAAGAAAAAAGAAAAAGGAAACAATGTGAGGGTATAACGGTAACTTCACGTCCTATGAAATTTCAGAGAAAAAACAGTTAAATAAGAATTAAACATCAATGGCTGGAAATTGATGAAAATTGAGAGAAGGAGAAGAAGCAGCGAAAGTAGAACCAGAAGAAAAATGGATTTCAGAAAGAAGGCTGGGGGAAGCGGCAACGACGACGAACAAGTGGAGCAATTGCTGCAAGCTGCTCAGGACGATCTCATGCTCAAATTGACTCTCGATTCCCACATGTCTCGCGTATCCCCAAACTATCTCGATTCCGATCTCGATCGCCGTTTCCAAGCCCTCAGATCGCGTCCTTCCTCCGCCGCCGCCGCCGCTCCACGCAATCCACGGCCTTCTCGATCGGATTTGCCGTCGAAGCCACCGGCGATTGAAAATCTTCCTGTCGATGGCGAATCTCAGTCGATTCTCGGTGACGATCTCGCTACTAGATTCGCTGCTCTGAAGGCGTCTTTGCCTTCCTCGACTCCTCCGCCTCCGTCGTCGATGCCTAACGACGTTGATAGCGAGGATGAAGAGGATGAGGTCGAGAAGTTGATTCAGTGGGCCAAGGATGCTGCTCGGCTCGATCCTTCACCGCCATCTGATCAAGACGACGACGACGGCGACGACGAGTCTAGTAGTTCCGATGAAGATGCCGACGATCGGAGGAAAGAACGTCGGAAAAAGAAGGCGGCGTGAGCGTTTTACCTGCTGCTAGGGCATTCGTTTTCGCTTCCGAATACTGAATTTGAGGGTTTCGGAACTTCAAGATTCGCACGTTGGATGCAGTCCGGATTTTTTGGTTGAACCAGAATGCGGCTCACCGGCGCGGCGTTTGATCTCACCCGTTTCGCCGCCGTTACAGTTCGAAACTCTGGTCCTTTGAATAGCAATGGAGTACTGTACTGTGCGGTGCCTTCTGTGTCATTCAATCTATTCTTCACTGTTCTAAATTCATTTTTGGTTGAAATATCATTTTGATCCTCAACTTTGTTTTTTAAATTAACATAATTAGATTCAACTTCAAAAAAATGCATATTATTTTGGTTCCTTGCTGTTAATTCTTCGGTTGATTGGTGTATTTTTGTTCAACTCTTCGGTTGGGTCTCTGTTTTGTTTAAAAATGATAATTTTGGTCCCGTAAAAATTTTAACACAAACTTTATACACCATCGCCATCAGTAAATATCATACTAAAATTATTATCAAGATGAAAAATGAAATGATGTTACAAAAGAATAAGGACCAAAATAAAAAAAAAATTGAAAATGATAGGATATGACAAAAACATTGAGTAAAATTAGTATAGCAACCACATTTAATAGTTTAGTTTTTTCAAATATAACATTTAAAAAAAATTGAGGTCCATTTTTAAAAGACAAATTTACTCAAATTATATATATTTATAATATATCTTTAATATATATGAGATATATATGATTATAATATACTACTAATGTGAGTGTCTAATATACTACTATCTGTTATATTATTGACATAAATGAAAATTTGTACTATATTTGAAAATTTGAAAAAATAGACGATATATTTTGAAATATATACAATATTTTTGTTACCTACGGCAATTTCCTATGATGATAATGTGGAAATACATTTCTAAAATTTACCGTGTTGATCATAAAATGATGAATGGGCTCATTTTAAAATTTCATTGCAAATACGTATGTTTCTTATATATGTTTCTTATGCTATGTTTCTTATATATAAAAGTAGGTGGACTAAAATAAACTTATCTGGCAGTAAATTTTAACCTTGGTTATTAAATAGTCTTTTGCAATTCTTTCACTGTCCTCAAATCCTCCATGGGGAACAAAACGGGGGAATAATATATTATTTCAAATGAAACGATTTTAAATTCTTCGAAAAATTAAAAATGATAAAACACAAAACCAATGATACTTTTAAGTTCAAGATAGAAAAATATACGTTTAAGTTCAATTAATATTGCAAATTTATACGTTATGCATCAAATTGATAATCAAATAAATCTTTTAAAATTTAACGAAAATATAACTTTATTGTCCTCTTTATGCACTTGGAAGTCTCTGCAATTTCGTATTATGTATGTATTTAAAAAGTTAACATTTTTTATTTAAATAATAATATTTCGTTATAATTATCATTCTCCACAGTAATTCTGTAAATATTTCTTTTTTATTCTATATTGAACTGCATTATTTTGTTTATGAAATTAAAATAATATATAAGTAATTCGTCTGTGTAAACAATATCAAACTCCGTTTATTATACTGTCACTGATGGATTCACAAGTTGTTAAGATTGTGTTAAATAGGTATATTTGGATCTCAGACTAAGCCAGTAAATTAAAATATTATCACTTTTTTAAATCCAAAGAAGAGAGAGTTAAGAATAAACAAGTCGTTGAAAATGCATCATCGGTAGAGATTAAAATAAATCACAGTTAAAAATATTTCACATTTTAAATTAAACTAAAAAAAATTAACCAAATATTGTTAAGAAATAGAAAACAAAAAGAAAACAAAGGGAATTCAGCACTCAGCAGATCTACGAAACCACGTTTACAGAAGTCATTGACGATCAACGAACGAATTTTTCTTGGTCCAAAATTTCAACTCGCTTTCTCTGTTCTTCTTCTTCTTCTTCCTAGATTTCTCTTGCACTCCAAGAATCTCTGCCTTCACTCTTGGCGACTTCTCATAGATCTCTCTCAATCGCTCTCAGTTCATCTTCAACGATCGTCTCTTCAATCCAATCCCCTTTTCGATTGGCAGCCATTGTTTCGGAGAATGAGCAAAGTTTCCATTATCATATACATTACAGTAGCCTTACTTCTTCTCCTACTCGTTTCCCATTCCCCCAAGAAAACCCCAAATCACCGCCACCGCCGCCTCAAGCTTCGCTCCAATTTCACTTTTGCCCCCTCGCATCAGCACCGCGAGGCTATCCCATTCGACCCTCTCGTCGCCGACATTGAGCGCCGCCGTGAGGACCGGCAATGGGAGAAGCAATATGTGGAACATCACCATCCTGAGGTGGCCGCCCATTTGACGGAACCGGCCCCTGGTGAAGAGTCGCAGCCCGAGTGGGAGGACTTCGCGGATGCTGAGGATTATCTCAATGATGATAATAGGTTCAATGTGACTGATCGGCTGTCGTTGCTGTTTCCGAAGATTGATGTTCATCCAGCTGATGGGTTTGTCGATGTGGATGAGTTGACTGAGTGGAATCTGCAGCAGGCTGAGAGGGAAACTTTGCATAGGACTCAGAGGGAGATGGAGACGCACGATAAGAATCATGATGGGCTTGTTTCGTTTTCGGAGTACGAGCCTCCCAGCTGGATTCGAAATTCAGGTCTAATCTCCTTTAAGTGCATTTTGATTTTAGTTTTGTGTTCTTGAAATTGGTGAGTCTGATGTTTTTCGTTTATTTTTCTTGTCGTGTTCAAAATCTTGCTCGTTGGAAATTGTTATTACTTATTTAGAAACTCGATATGTTGTATATTTAACAATCTCAAGGACTAAGAGTCGGGAATATTCTAAGATCGATTTCTTAAGGGAGAAGTATTTTGATAAAAACCAAATGTAATTTGCCGCACTTATGATATTGTATGTAGATTCGTTGCAGTTTTTCCATTTGTCTTATGTTTGCTTTTTAGACACTTATTTTCTGTGTTACTCATTACCAAACTATTCACCAGATAATAGTTCCTTTGGCTACGATATGGGTTGGTGGAAACTTGGACATTTTAACGCGTCCGATGCTGATGGAGATGGTTTTTTGAATTTGACTGAGTTCAATGAGTAAGCTTTTCAAGATTTGTTGTGGTTATTCTTGAGGAGAATATGGAAAGTTTATTGGGTAGTTGAATTGAGATGCTCATAACGTTTATTCATCTCTGTTTTTTTAGCTTTCTGCACCCTGCTGACACCAAGAACCCAAAGCTACTTCATTGGCTGTGTGAGGAAGAAATACGGTAATGAATTATATGAAGTTATATTCTTAACAGTTCTCAAAATCCTGCTTGATGTTTTAGATGCATTTCCATTGGTTTCTATGGCTTTGTTTCCACTGCATTTGTCTTATAACGTTCAGTTGCCTAGTTGTTCTTCATCTCACCAATGGAGATTCTTGCTGAGGGCATTAACATCTTGTTTAACTGAAATAAACAAATTTTGGGGCAATTCTTATTTGCATAAACAATATTTTTGGGTTAATTCTTATTTCTGTAGATCTCAAAAACACCTTAACCTTTACACACTGCATTTGTACACATCTACTTATGTGTACAAAAGTGTGTACAAAAGCCTTTTGGAACAATTTTTTTTTCTTTTTTATAAGACCTTTTTGGAACTATTCAATCCAGGAAATTATTTTTGGGTCGAAGGTATTTTTGTAAAAAGGTGTTAGTTAGTATTGTTTTTATTTATGGGGTTACATTGTTATGTAAGTTCATAGAGAGATCGATATCTCGTGGTTTTGGAGTTTGTTACGTGTATAGTCTTTAATTTTTGGGTTTTACCTTGTAGGCTTGTTATAGGAGTTTGGTTTCGTGTAACTTTTCAAATATCAATGAAAAGTTTATGTTTATTGTCAAAAAGGGAAAAAAAGTATTTTATACTCCTGTGCTGGCACGAGGGAAGATTGGATTGAACATTCAATTCTATAATATTCGGCTAAAATCACAACCGAAGAAGAGATGCTGTTATTATCCTCAACCTTCTTAAAAAGGTATTAGGATCCCAAATACAAGAATCTAACAAGATAATTATATTGCAATCTCAAAAGATAAATTACAATATCGATAGCCTTTCGAGAGGGCTATCTCTCTCCCGAGAAACTTTCTCAAGTCCTCACCAAAATACTATTCCAAAAGATGATCTTCTCCTCTCCCTACTATCCTTATTTATAACAACTCACCCCTAACTAATTACCACATTGCCCCTTCACTAACATACTAACAATACATACCCCCATTAGGACTCTCACAAAAGGCTGCACATATTAGGGAAAATGTAAAGATGAGTATTCCTTCTTTGGACAACTTCAGCTATAATAAGGCCTCCTAGAGCTAAACTGCCAACAAAAATGTGACCTGTTAAGAAGCCTTGAATAATCTCAAAATTACTCGGTTTTAGTACTTTTTGGAAAAACCGGTTGGATATTTATAGCCTCATTAATTTTATAGATGAAAGATTTGGTGGAAAAGATGTCTGATGAATCTCCTTCCCTAATTCGAGAGTTTGCTTGGTAGGAAGGGTGGAAGTCTCTGAAGCACGAAATCAGCTGCAACCACTCTTCAATTTCTCTTTGGTTTAAGGCTCTTAAAAGTAAGGCATCCACTAGCATTCTTCTGCATCCCACTATCTCTACATTATTGTACATTTTTCAAGGAATTATCCCCGATTCGGACAGCTTCCCACTATTTAACTTGGTGCCATTTAATTTCCCGATAACAAACATATAAGATATCATTAAGAGGACAAAAGTAGAGAAGAGGTTGATAAGAAATCAATCCATAAGTATTACTCTCATTTGTTCGAATGGGGATGTATTTATTTTCTCACCATAGTTTGTTTTTCTTCCTTTTCACTCTCTTTGGAGATACACCTTTGAAGTTTGTATTTTTGAACATTTTTTTTTGTTATTCATTAAATCAATGAAAAGTTCGTACTTGGTTAAAAATAAGAGAAGAAGAAAAAGAAATCAATCCATTAGTCAAAGAGCTCAATGGGGATTTCAAATAGCTTCTCCAATAGGTGTTGATAAAAAAAGGAATCGTCGCTACATAATAATTTAGCTGTTGCACTCCAAAAGGAAGCTTTGGCTTCCCAAATCTACTTCTCTCTTCTCTAGCCTTGTTAAGGAAATTTTATGTTTCTTTCAAGTCAGATCTCACAAATAGGAGCTTTGATCGTTTTCTCCCAAAGAATCTTGGCTTTTCTTTTCAAAAAGTTGGATCAAATATTGCTAACCTGTTAACTCGACTTCAGAGGGGATAGTTAGGTTACATTTCATAACCCTTCCAGAGTTCGGTTACTTCAAAAAGGGAGCCCCTTTTCTCTATAACTTTCTGTAGCCGCACAACTCCTTCAATTCTAGTCTTCCTAAAGAGTTTCTGGTGTATTTGACTTCAAATTAGGATTTCAATTGCCTTTTATGTTCCCTGCATTTAGTCCAAGTCAACAGCAAGGTGAAAGAACAACCAATTATTTTTTCTTCAATTTTCTCTTCTAAATATTTGATCCTCACACAATTTTGTTGAAAAGAACTCCCTATATATTCTGCATTCCTCATGTTCATGTGAGAAACTCGATCCCCTTCCTAGTCGGAGAAGTCATTGAAGGTCTTGCTAGTCAGGTAGCATTTAAGAGAGATAATATTTAAAGCATCGTTAAATGTTACCTCATACCCGAACGATCAGGGAGATTCGGGAGGTGTTGTTGGAGAGAAATCTGAACTTTTGGGATAAGCATGTAATTTTGAACTACTATATTTAGTGTCTTTCTTTTTTAGGAATATTATTCATGAATGTAACAGAGTTGATGTGGTCAATTTTGATTTGTTTTAGCACTGCATTTCCAAAGTTTATTCTCATCAATATAAACGGATTTGCGATGTGGCTATGTCTCCATTTTTGTACCTGTTCAGGATATAATTTTCAATATTCCTTTTAATGTTTTTAATATATTAAAAATAATTATAGATTAGATTTTATGTTTTTACAAAAATTAGTGATATATTAAAGGTCATATTCTTATATGTTGTTTCAATTTGTTGATTAGCATAAACATATTATACAAAATTAATATATTATATACTAAAACCATTAATTGCGTTCTTTATACATGCATGTTGAAATATATGTATGTATGTGTTAAGACACAATATAATAGTCAGAAGGAATATACAACAACAGAGGGGAGGTGGAAAAAAATCCACAAAAGCCATAATCCAAAGGTGAATACCAAAACGGTCTCCCCATTTGGTATAAAGCCAGAAAGGGAGTAAATACAAAGATGTTTGGACAAGGAAATTGAACAAGAGGCTAAGAAACAACCTGAATCAGAGATTTTTTTTTTTCCTAGTTCAACGACATATGAGTGTGGGGATTTGAACCTCCAAACTTTTAGTTGAGGATATATGCTTTAACCAGTTAAGTTATGCTCAAGTTGGCAACTTGAATCAAAACTCTTATTAACTCCACTACTTTTGTCCTAAAAGAACCAAGGGAAGATTCGTTCAGATTGAAGAGCAACATTTGCAGAGACGGTTTACGATTTCTTTAGAAGAGGTGGTGATAGTTTGGCTAACTGACTCCATCTCAGAACTCCTTCTTTCGCCTAAAACCCAGAAATTCTTTCGGAAGACTCATTGTGAGAACGGCTTTGTATGGATTCTTAAGACGACTAACAAGAGAGGAAGTTTCATCGAAATCACAAAGGTACAACACTCCGGAGGAAAGGCAAACATAGTTATCCCGGCGGGGGAGGACTTTAGTGGCTGGAAAATTTTTAAGCAACTTCTTCTTGACTTCCTCAACGGATATGAGTCATCAAGAAGAGCCAAGTCCCCGATCAGACACCAGATGGCAAAGTCCTTTGCAGCAACACTAACTCCTACTCCCTCCCCACAGATTACGAACAACGCCCATCAGCCACAGACAAAAGAAATCAGGTATGTAGATTGGAACCATGTACTAGTTGTTACCGGAAGAGATTTCCACGACGATTGGGGAATTATCTTAAACACGCTTGAGAGTCAACTTCAGGTAAACCTTATCATTAATGCGTTTCACCCGGACAAGGCCATTCTGAAATGCCCAAACGATGAGCTAGCAAGACTCCTTTGTACGAACAAAGGTTGGGTAACTTTTGGTGCATTGACTCTTAAGGTGGAGCGGTGGAACAAGGAAAGACACGGGTTTAGCACAGTTGTCCCATCTTATGGAGGGTGGTTAAAGTTCAGGAATATCCCTCTGCATTTATGGAGTGAGGAACTCTTCTGGAAGATAGGTGACACTTTTAGAGGTTTTATTGAGTTTGCCGATGAGAACGCCGCGAGAATTGAATGTATGGATGTTGCAATTAGAGTTAAAGGGAATTATTGTGGCTTTATCCCAGCTGGTATCAAGATACAAGATGATGGTTCAATTTTTCTAGCGCAGATAGCGAACTTCGAAGACGCCAAACTTTTGATTGGAAAGAAAGCCAAAGTCCAAGGCAGTTTTTCACTGGAAGCAGCTGCAAAGTTCCACGGAGGTCCGGCGACGAAACCAAGCCCTAGCCCAGCGGACCTTTGGAGAGTTGAAGATGGGTTCTTTTACCCAACAGTTATTGCCTCCCCCTCTCTGGTAACAGACTCTGCAACCTCGAGACAGACCATGACAAAGACAACAGAAGTAACTGAGGTACAAAAGCACTGTTTTCAAATAAGACCCACTGACGCACCCAGAAGGCCAGAGACTAATTTGGGGAATAATAGCAGTTATAAGCAAAAGGCCTCTGAACCTATCATAAAAGGAGGGGTTCTCAAAAAAGGCATCAGTACTATAGCAACAAAGGTCACACAACACCCGAGAAGGGTCGTTTTTAAAAAAGGACAAAAGGGCTCACCAAATTTCAAGAAAGGTATAGTTTTTACGACGGAAGAGGAAAGACAGGAGAAGAAAAAGAAAACCAGAAATGCAGAAATCGCTGAGAATGCTAAGAAAAAAGGCAAACAATTAGAAGTGTTATCAAAATCCTCCTGGTCTAGTGAGGAAATCCCAAGACCAGGAAGTCCCCCTGTCGAGAACTTCTCCTCAGAAATACTAGATGGATACTTTAGCTGTTTTGAACAGTCCTTAGAGGATCCTCTCGAGGAACAGAGTACAGAGTTAGTCGTAGCTAATCTTGAACTATCAGAATGTCAACCACCAGAGGCCCTCGACGAGGACAAGACAAAGGAAGAAGAGGAAAGGTGCAAAGATCCCAC